CAAGTATAGCAGGGATTGTGGGGCTGGCGCGGGATCGGGCAGTGTTTCGTTCTGCTGTGCATGGGGTCGCTATGAGTCAGAAACGACTCGACGGCACTTAACAACAACAACAAAAATGAGCAGAATTACCTTGATGGGAACTGATTTGGGGTTCTGGTATCTCATTATTTTTTGGTTCATGGCTTTTATTTAGCATGATCTCAGATAATTTTAATCTTGAAATGTTTTCCTTTTACCTTCAAAGAAAACTGTCAACTAATAAATATATTAAACATATAATAATGATACTTCTTTTCCTTAGTTTTCATGGTTTTCCTCAAAAATCTGAGAGCCATGTTCCCAAATCCTACAGCTCCTTTTCTTAATGTCTTATGTGTATTTCTCCTTCTCTCCATCCCACTGCCACCAGCCCTGTTTCGCCACTTCTCACCCAATATTTGAATATTTATAGGCAGTTTCATTTCTCCCTACACAAGGTGGCAGAGTATTCCTGTAATGTGTTACTTTTATCATGTTCTTTCCACCTTGGATCAAAACCTTGGTGTTCTGCATGATCCAGGCCAATCTCTTATGTTGCCCACAGCACCTTCCAAATCCAAGCTCTAAGTTTCAACTAAACTCACTACCATAGAGTTGTATCTGACTCATAGTGATCCCTCCTTGGGTTTCCTGGGCAGTATCTCTATGGATGTAGATTGTCCAATCTTCCTTCCGGGGAGTGGCTGGTGGGTTTGAACTGCCAGTCTTCTAGTCAGCAGTCAAATGCCTTAGGCACTACGCCACCAGAGCTCCCAAGCTCTCAGTATGACCATGGAACTCTGTCAGTTACAGAATTCTAGATTGGGTCCTAGTAAATTGAAATTTCCTAAAAAATTACAACTTGGGTTTGTAACTGACACAATTGTTCTTCACAGTCAAGTTTTGTAAGATATCTTAAGGATTAGGATGCTACATTAGTATTAAGGGAGGGTCATTGGAATGAAGGTCAATGCCCCAGAAATGCCCAAGCACTGCTATTCTGTTGCCTTCTAAACTCTTAGTATCCTGAAGCATCAAACAAATTCCATTTACCTTTTCAAAGGCAGGAAAATAACGATTAGTTGTTCTCTCTTTGATCAGGGCGATCTTGGCATCCTTTTCCCCAGGTGGACATAATGGCAAAAGAAGGAGCATCTCATTCAAATCTGCCACACCTTCTGTATACATATCAATCCTGAAAGACAAAAGTGAGCAAACTGTCTAATGCCTTCTGCCTTAGATTTGATAATTTTTTCAGATTATAAATTCACCTTCATTGGGTGTTTATTTTGTGCCAGTCATAATGCCACAATTTTTACTTATCTCTTCACATTTAATTTTTAGAACAATATATTGACATACACATATGTCTAAAATTTTTGTTAAACATATGACCAAATGTATGTGCACAGAGCATGGTGGCAGAGTATTCCTGTAACATGTTGTTTTTGTTATGTTTCTTCCACCTTGGACCAAAACCTTTGGTGTTCTCCAGGATCCAATCCAATCTCTAGTGTTGCCCACAGCACCCTCCAAACCCAAGTTCTAAGTATGACCATGGAATTCTGTCAATGAGAGAATTCTAGATTGGGTCCTAGTCAATTGAAATTTCAAGGGTAAGGCCAAGACAGAATTGGTAGAGTCACTGCAAGTACCACCTGCCTACGGTTTACCATCTCTGTTGTTGTTTGATCTATGCACAAATTAGTGTGAGGCATATGGCTAAAGACCTGCCATCTAAATAATCACAAAAGAGAGGTCCGCATGAGTCATGTCCTCTACCATTCTTTCCCTGATACACCACGCAGCCCGATGGCAAGGCCCAATACTAGCAGTTCTTCCAATTATTTCCCATAGAACATGATTCCACAGCCCTTCCCTTTCCACATACTATTGCCCAACTCTGGCCACATTGTTTCTCAATACCCTATTTAAATTATCCTTTTAATTAGGTGCAATTATTTAAACAATTTCAAACAATGCATATTCTATGGTTCTTTTTTTTTTCTTTTGTTCCGAATTGAGTGTCCTCTTTAAAATTGTGGTAAAAAACATAAATTTATCATTTCAACATTTTTTACATGTACAATTCAGTGAAATTACAATGTTGTTCAACCATCACTTGAGTTTTTTTTTCTGACAGCTTATTGAAATATAATTCACATTCCAAAAATTTCATCCTTTGTACAATTTAGTGTTGTTGATTTTTAGTACAGTCACAGAGTTCTGCAACCATCATCAGAATATTTGCATCATTCCCAAAAGAAACATTGTGCCCTTTAGCAGTTGCTCCCCATCCCTCTGTCCCTCTAGCACCTGGTAATCACTAATCTACTTTCTGTCTTTAGGATTTGTTTTGGGGTTTTCAAATGAGTCTGGCTGCTTCAGGCTTGTGTCAAGAAACCTGAGGTAATCTTGGGCACCAAAGGAATCACTGGGTTCTAGCCTCTGGTAACTCTGCCTAGTTGACCAGTCCATATAACTTAACTAGATTCCTTGTCATCATTTCTGGAACTTGAGAATCAGCTTCCTTGGATCCTATCCTTCCTCAGCCATCTTCTCTCAAACCAACATCCAAACCCACTGCCATCAAGTCTACTCTGATTCATAGCAACCCCCATTGGATTTCTAAGGCTGTAAATCTTTACACAAGCAGACTGCCTCATCTTTTTTTCCGTAGAGTGGCTGGTGGGTTCGAACCACAAACCTTTGGTTAACAGCCAAATGTTTTAACCATTACATCACCAGAGCTCCCAGCTTTCTTCTCTAGACACTCCAGAATACTTCATTCTTGTCCCTAGCTGTTGTTGGCATGCAGCACCTAAAGCCCTGAGCTGCTAGAACAGAGATATTGCCATCTTTCTGGCTTCCTGAGTCTCAATATTTGGAAACCTCTCTCACTGCACTACATTGTGGCATACCCACTGAATCCACCCTTAGTTTTCCTTTCCTCCTTCTCTATAACACTATACTGCACTGGGCCTCACTCAGTCTATTTGCCTAAGGCCCAGCCTGTTGCTGTGTTATGATGCCATGCCATGGTCCCTCAGAGGCTTCATGGGGCTTCTGCTCCTGCCAGCTTGTCTTTTACTGTCCCCCTTCCCAAGCTCTGTCTACTCAAAGTGGGACCCAAGTCGATCCCATGTTCTGTAAGAACAGAAAATATACTGTACAGGGCTCTCTCCTTCATGTCCTTCCCATAGAGGTTGTACTTGGTGGAAATGTAGTTGAGAATGGCTCTGGTCTGCACCAGCTTCATCCCATCAATTTCCACCATTGGCACTTGCTGGAACAGCAAACTCCCATCTTTGCAGAGAAAAAGAAAAAGAACAGGTGAAATAGTTTATGGATCACACTCTTTAAGGTTGAAAAATGTTTATTGAGATGACAGAAAATGCAAAATGAAACCAAAAATTGCAACCTGGTAACACTTCAACTGAAATAGCATTTTGTTTTCAAGTTCACAGTGCTCCTTTTTTTTCTTTTCAATCTCCCCTTTATTTTTAACCTGTTGTTTCATCTATCTTATTATTTGCCCAGCAGATGTAAGTTGACTCCTTTGTATTTTACATATTTAAAGTCTCTGCGAGGAAAGCTGGGAGCAGTTGCAACAGGGCTGCCAGCCAGGTACCATTTTAAATGGGAAATTCCCAAAGTAATTCTCACCATCTTTACGGCACTTAAAGACAGTTCTGAGAGGGATTTCTATGGAGAGGCCCCTTTCTGTGTTCCTCAAATCATACCATAGGGGTGGTATGTGCAGGGCAGGCCCAGTTTTCCTAATCCTATAGGGGCTAATCCTTACTCAGTTATCTTCTCCCCACCCTCCCATCTGGCCTCACAATATGGTTCAACATGGTCTTGTTTAACTGAGTCTGCAGTGTTGCTAGGATATTACCTTGTCACACCCATGTTGTTGTTGTTATTATGTGCCCTCAAGTCGGACCCGACTCATAGCAACTCCTCCTTGGGTTTCCTAGGCAGTATCACTACAGAAGGAGACTGCCCAACCTTCCTTCTGAGGATACTTCTGTAGTGATATTGCCTCAGAAACCCAAGGAGGGGTCACTATGAGTCGGGTCCGACTTGACAGCACATAACAACAACAACAACATGGGTGTGACAAGGTTGCACATCCTGTCACACCCATAAAAGAAAAGAACTGCACCTCTATCTACTCCTTTCACTCTAATGCATGTGTTAGTGTGGAGGGCAGTGAGTTGTTTGCAGTTCATTCACAGTGCACAAAAGCATCAGAAAGCAACATGAGGCCATTCACAGGGCCCTGGGCTGGTTTCTGTAGCAAAGACTCCCAGAGTTCCAGCCCTTCTTAGCCCTGAGAGAGTTGCCAGACCTCCTCAGGGAGCCCCACCTCTTATATCTTAACCACTTTTCTATCTCTCTACCACCCTCAACTATAACTACACAAACACATAGACATTAAAAAAAAAAAAAAAAAACTCACTGCCATGGAGTCTATTCAACTCACAGCAACCCCTCCTTGGGTTTCTGAAGCAGTATCTCTACAGAAGTAGAATGCCCAATTTTCCTTCTGAGGAGTGGCTGGTGGGTTTGAACCAACAGGCATCTGGTTAGCAGTCAAATGCCTTAGGCACTACACCTGGTGTTAAACCTCAACATAGGACTTCTAGTAGATACCATCCTCAGGGGCATTTAGAAACTTGGTCTTACCATTTTTTAACTTTTCCAAGTCTTCTGGACCTTCTATAAATATCTCTTCAAACTGAAAAGCAGAAACAAAAAACGAAAATCCTGTTACTTCATTCAACAGCATTATACAGCTTTCAAAATTGAATGACCCCTCTATGCTATGTAAATGGTGAAGGTAAAATTTCTGAGTTTGGCAAGAGTCTGATCATGGCCACTTGGAATACTTCCATATGACCCACAGAGGAAAGGTCATGGGTCACAGCAGCTGGCTGCTCATTCCTGATGGTCCCCTTCACCTCCATCCTGTCCCTCAAGATTAGGTAAGGATTTTGGGGAAAAAATGTCATTGGAGGGAGGAAACTCAGAAGATCATTGTAATTCTGGAGTTTGAACATCTTAGGAGAGTCTGTCTCTCCACGTCAGGTCAGGATAGGACATTGTGTGAGCCCCAGCATAGGGTACGGCACTGGGCTAAGGACTATTTAAGATTTTGCTGCCAAGTGGCATTTGTCATAATTTTTATCACCCATTCCACAGGAGCTTCACCCAAGGCAAAATGGATCCCAGCTATGCACAGCTCCTAGTCTTACAACTCGCTATTTCCTCTCCTTGAAAATCTGGGATACTCTAATGCAGAATTTCCAATCTAGGAAGAAATATTAGAATTCCTGGCTTAGTTCCACCCCAGACCCCCCAAATAACTGGTTTCTGATTTGACTCCCAAGGTTTGAATCCCAACTTTTTCACTTTGGGACCTTCAACACATTACTGGACCACTGTGTGCCTCAATATTCTCATATGAGTGTGACTATGGGTGTCATTATGGTATGTATGGTATAGGTTTAATGACTTAGGCATGCAAAGCACTTAGAATAGTATCAAGTGCACATTATGTTGTTGTTGTTGTTGTTAGATGCCATCGAGTTGGCTCCAACTCATAGCGACCCTATGTATAACAGAATGAAACATTGCTCCGTCCTGTTGAAAGCTAAAAATACAAGAAAAGTGCACATTAAGTGCTTAGTAAATGTATGTTGTCATTAGAATTTCAACCCGTGGCTGCTATTTAATGATACAGATGCATATCCTTTTTTCTTTTTTTTTAATTTTAAACAATCCACATTGGTGAATATTTACTTTGTTCTTGGCCTATTTCCAATAAGTTAAACATTGGTATAAATTAGACCTTCCAACACACATTCCATTGATTGCACAGCAGCCAAGCCATTGGGCTGTCGCAGGTAGATTAGAGCTCTAAATGGTTACAACTTTTTAATACAAATACAAAAGTCAATTATTACTTAATGAGCCCCCCCCTTTTTTTAAAGTAGGCAGCATCTATCAAACTAGAAGTCCAAGGACAAAGTTATCAAGAATGCAGATGTGGTATCAGTCTGATTTATTCCAGTCTTGGTTCTGCCACATGATAGCTCTGTGAGCTGCATGCAGTCACTTTAACATCTCTAAGCCTTAGTTTGTAGGAGCTCTGGTAGCATAGTGGCAAAGGCACTTGACTGCTAACCAGAAGGCTGGCGGTTCAAACCCACCAGCCACTCCTCAGAAGGAAGGTTGGGCAATCTTCTTCTGTAGTGATGCTGCCTCGGAAACCCAAGGAGGGGTCGCTATGAGTCACGGCTGACTTGACGGCATACAAAAACAAAAAAAAAGCCTTAGTTTGCTCATCTATAAAATGGGGTAAAACATTTCTTACATGAAATATTGTAATGTTTTTAAACTACATAGCACAAGATATGGACCATGCTAAAACAGGTAATTATTATCAGTAGTGGTGGTTGTTGTTTGCCGTTGAGTCAATGCCAACTCACAGCAACACCAAGTGATAGAGTAGAACCCTCTGTCTTGGATTTTCTTGGCTGTAATCTTCATGGAAGCAGATCTCCAGGTCTTTCTCTCATGGAGCCACTGAGTGGGTTCGAACCACCAACCTTTCAGTTAACAAAGTTCCTGATGATGAAAAAGCTGGGAATTGTGGGATTTGTAATTTCTCAGTGAAATAGCCTTTGTTGTGGATCTATATAATCCCACAGGGTCAGGCTATACAGATGGTGTGTGCAAACGATTTATAAAGTGTTCAGTTCAAGACAAACAGATGGGATGGTGGGTGGCCATCATTGGAGGATAGCCAAGGTGGGGATGGGTTTGGTGTAGGTGATTATTTTCTTATGTTATATATTTTTATTATGGAGATTTTTTATATAAATGAAGAGAGTAGAATGATCCTCTTTATACCCATAACCTAGCTTCAGTAATTATCAACTCAAGGCAATCTCATTTCATCTCTATCTCTGATGCTCTCCTGATACAGTAAAAATTTAATCCAAATTTTTATCCTTAAATACTTCAGTATGTATCTCTAACACATAAAAACTATTTTTAGAATAACCACTATACATTATCATACCTAAAAAATTAACAGTAGTTTTTAAAAATTAACAGTAGTATTTGTGAGACAAGTGGAGCAGGCAGGATTATGATGATCACCCTTTGGGCACAGAGAACCCAGGAGTCCTGAGCAAGGTCTCTGGTCAGTCCTCATACCACCACCCTATTCAACCAAGCTAGGTAGATAAGAGAAAGCCTAGATGCTCTCAGCTTCACCCCCTACTTCCTCCTATGAAGGTTCATCCTGCCTGGGAGCTCTGAACACAGATGTCCTACAATCCCAGAGCTGAAATCTGGACTATGCTAAAACAGGTTATTCATTTATAGAAAGAAAACAACCTGTTTGCTTGTTTCTTCATAATATTGAGAAAGCGTTAGGCTAAAGTCCAACATAGCCATGAAGCCATCAAAAAAGTGTGATCCTGAGGTTTAGGTAAACATGTTATTATGAGACTGGAGAGAGGGAACTAGCAATTGCTTCCCAGGACACCACCTCAACTGAAACATATCTGTCCTGTTTCTCAGTGTATCCCAAAGGACTCAGTGAAGATCCTGGTACTTAATAGGTACTCACCAAAATAATTACTGAATGAATGTATTGAATCTGTAACAGGCACCATGTTGCAATCCACTCACTCTGTCTACTTTCCCCACATTTGTGGTTTATCCTTTAAGTTTAATTACATTTATTTTCTTATGTTATATATTTTTATTATGGAGATTTTTTATATAAATGAAAAAAGTATTATGATCCTCCTTATGCCCATAACCTAGCTTCAGTAATTATCAACTCAAGGCAATCTCATTTCATCTATACCTCTGATGCTCTCCTGATACAGTAAAAATTTAATCCAAATCTTTAATCCTTTAGTATGTATTTCTAACACATAAAAACCCTTTTTAGAATAACCACTATACATTATCATACCTAAAAAATTAACAATAGTCCTTTGATATTATCTGTGTTCATGTTTCTCGTTGTTGCATAAACGTCATAAATGATTTTTTCCAGTTTGTTTAAATCCAAATCCAAACAAGGACCACCAGTTGTAATTAGGTGATGATTAAGTTTCTTTTCATTGTTTCTGTGCTCTTTGATGGGTGGAAATTTAAAAATTTATTTAGTGAAATCTGTCTATATCTTTCTTAGTAACTGGTGCTATTTATTTTTTTAGATCAAATTTATTAAAAACTAAAAGACATTCACTTAAAATGAGCTGGTCCCATGAGGTTTCACAAATGTAAACACCCATTCACTCTATCACAACAATCAAGGTATAGAACATTTCCATCACCCTGCTAAGTTCTCTCACCTTAGTAGTCAATCCTCCATACCCACACTCCAAATAGGCTTTCTATCATTCTATATTTCCCTTTTGTAGAATTTATAAATAGAGCTTTAAAGTGAAAAAATATACTATATACTTTTTTTGTGTCTAGCCTCTTTCACTCAACCTAATTTTGAGATCCTTCCATTTAAATGCATGCATCAGCAACTCATTCATTATATTGCTGAGTATTTCATTATAAGATTTTCTATATACAAGATCACATCATCTGCACATAGAGATAATTTTATTTCTTCCTTTCCAATCTGGATGCCTTTTATTTCTTTTTCTTGCTTAATTATTCTGGCTAGAGCCTCTAGCATAGTTTGAAGTGGGAAGAGTGGACATCCTTGTCTTGTTCTTGATCCTAAGGGGAAAAAGCCAGTCTTTTACCACTAAATATGATTATATCTAGGGGGGAGGTTAAGGAGGTTGTAAAGGGCCTTTTACAGGTTGAGGAAGTTCACTTTATTCCAAATTTATTGAAAGTTTTTATCATGAAAGGAGGTGGATTTTGTCACATGATCTTTCTGCATCTCTCAAGATGATCATGTGACTTTTGTCCCTTATACAATTAATATGGTATATTACATTGATTGTTTTTTGTATGTTAAATGAACCTTGAATTGTGATATTTTTATTTAAGGCAAAACTATTGACAGGTTGTCTAGTATGGAAGTCTCCTGGCTTATGGGAGAAAAGCACTTTGACACAGAATTTTAGATATGACCTACGGCAGTGAATTGCTTGATGTGGCCCTTCTAGCCATTGTCCTCCATTCTGTGATGTTTTGTAAATCTCATTATCCATGCCTATTTGGGGTGGTGTGGTAGTTAAGGTCAGGTATCAACTTGGCTGGGCAGCTGGTAGTAGTCATTCCCTATAATGACTGGCAATCGACTCTGTGATGGGATTTAGGTTAATTCTGTTGGGGCAACACAGGTGGAATGGATCTTGAGTCCTGCCTTGCTAGAGGGTATAATTCAAATCACCACCCTTAGCTTCCCTGAGGGTATACCTACGAATCTCCTGGGAAGATTCCCTCTCCTCTTGCTCGGCTTTGTGTCTTGGATCATCCTCATCTCATCCCTGGATTTGGGACAGCAGCCTTCATCTGATCTGCTGATCGAGGTTCATCAAACCCCGAGATTGGGAGGATCCGCCAGACCTACTCGCGGACCCAGGACTCGCCAGCCTGCCAGCCTCCACCACTACTATGTGAGATGAACCCTTGGGTGTCTGTGAGTTCTGTGAGGTGTTACAGCGAAATACAGAACCCTAAGACTGGGGAAATTACTGGGAGGAGGAGGAGGAGTTAATGTCTGAAATGATGGAGTGGCACGGTAGTTTGGACATTTGGGACATATTTAACCTCCGCCTCATGGGGACTGGCCATGTGCTGATCTTTCTAAGAGAAATTGTTCAAGCACCTACCATAACCTAACTCAGAACCTACCTCGACTCCAGCTGCAGCCAAGAGCCACCTGATGCATTCCATTCTGCCTCGTCCATTGAAGTAATGAAGCTTGGGTTTTCCTGCCATGATAGCAGAGTTCTTGGTTTTTTTTAAACCTGAATGAATGAATGCATGAATGAGTGAATGAGATTACAGAAGTAAACATGCACTTTAGGATGCACATTTGATTAGGACCAATGATACAGAAGGGTGGAGTATCTGGTGTCTCTGTAAGAAGTTGAAAGAATCCCATGAATCTTCCTTGGCCCCAAATCCACATATCAGTGGCTGCCATTGTGAAATGCAATCCAAACAGTTTCATGTCTCCATTGGTTAAAATGTGACTATTCTTGGGAGGCTAATAGATGAGTCTGTATTAAGAATGCATGTGTAGATGGTACTGGGAGGAGGAAGGACTGGAGAACTGATACTGAAAACCTCTTAATGTTTCTGGCCCAAAATTTTCGATATATTATATATCCACTCCTCACTTATTGACACGGCTAGGTTCCAAAGACCAGGTCATTATGCAAAAATGGAGGATGACCACATCAGATCATAGAATGGAGGATGATTATATCATTACATAACTGCCAATTACATCATTTCATTACTGCCAAAGCACTAAGAATCATGGCCCAGCCAAGCTGACACATTACCTTAGCTATCACAGTCAGCATTATTCTACCCTGGCATTTGTTATTGCCAGACATATACTGTTAATCAGCAAAATAATTGGGTAGCAGATTTTTTACTTTTGTAGTAAATGCAAAGTGTTAGATAACATGATAGTTAACAAGTGAGAAGTAGGCGTACTTTAACCCTGATGGCTGTCTCATGAACTGGTTGTTATTACCCTATTTTTCAGATAATGAAAATGAGGCTCAGAGAGGTTAAATGTCATGTCCACAATCAAACACCAATTAGAGATGGACATTGAAATTCACATCAGGGACTTAAAAGGATTCCACATAGGGGAAGACATAAAACTCAAAGACAATCACAATTATGGGGTTTATTAGGAAAGTAACAGGTTACAGTTCAGGATCAGAAACAACTCAGGATACATTTCTTTGATCAGGACAGCCTCTTTTCAACCATGTTCACAGACAATCCTCTCTGTGGCCCTAAGGCCCCTCAGGTCTCCTGGGCCTTGTGGACCACTCTGGTCACTGCCCTGCTCAGACAAATGATAAAGCTCTTTAGCTCTGCCAATAAGTGGCTGGAGGCAACCCCCTCCACCAGTAAGTCTTAGCCCAAAAATGCTCAGCTCTCTTGCTCCGGGGGCCAGGAAACCCACTGTACCATCTCTTGCTGGTCTCCTGGTTCTGCTGCCTCTCCTGCTGCCACTTCTCTCTCATTGCTTCTCACCATCTCTTGCCATGCCATTTCCGATGTCACTGTTCCCTGTCTCCTGGAGCTAGGAGGTACCCAGCACAGGAACCCTTGGTCCAAAGGCATATTCCATGCCTGTTTCTTCATCTTGGTGGTGGTCAGGTGTCCCCTTTCTGCCTCTGAGAAGGCTCATTTTAAGCCTAGCAGGATGGCAAAATTGATCAACCCCCTCATTAGGGTTCCATACACCTCATTTGCATGGTCCTACCCCCACAGGGTTCCATGCACCCTATTTGCATTATTACCCAACTGTTTAATCCCCTTGTTGGGCCACAGGCACCATATTTGTATAGTCCCACTCAATCATTTGGTGGACATTACAGGACCATGTAAAGCAACCATATGAAAGGTCATATAAAAGCAATCTATTGTATCACAGAAGCCTTGAAACCAGAAGTCATCAATGACAGGGAAGAAAAGGAGGAAGCAAAATCACTCTCTAGCTCTTTAGCTGTTATGTTGCATTTGATCCAAAGTAGAAATTAGGACTCAAACTTGCTTGACTATAGCTCAAAAGATCCAAATTCTTTCCACACACCTACATTAAAAAAAAAAAAAAAAAAAAAACTTACCACCACTCAGTCGATTCCGACTCATAGCAACCCTCTTCGGGTTTCCAAGGCATAAATCTTTACAGAAGTAAAATGCTCAGTCTTCCTTCCATGGAATGGCTGGTGAGTTTGAACCACCAACCTTCTGGCTAGCAGTCAAATGCCTTAAGTACTACGCCATCAGACCTGCTAGGAGGATGCTAATTTATCATCTCATTTGGAATTCTATATTCTATCTCTACTGAGTATGTTTTATTTTATTTTACTGTCTAGAAAATTGGATTTTAATGCATTAACTTTACAGTATATGGAAAGGAACTAACATTTATTCAATCTCTGCCACACACTGGGCATTCGCACAATTTTTTCTTTATTTAAACCTACAAAAGTCATTTTCATTTTACATTTTATGTGTAGGTTTTTGTATAGACATAAGTTGTGGGGATACTGAAGTTTCTAGAGAGTAAGTAACTTGCCCAAAATAACTTGGTGGACTTGGGATTCATACCCACTTCTATTCAAAACAAGTCTAAGCTTTACTTTCTATATTGGTGGTTTACAAAATGCACATGGTGATGTTTTAATGGGTTGTGAAATATACTAATTTTTAAAATTAATCGACTTTATTTTTTAGAACACTTTTAGGTTTACAGAAAAATTGAGTGCAAAGTACAAGGAGTTCCTCCTCCCTTCCCCTGCCTATTTTCCCCTATTGATATCTAGAACTCCTGTGGTACATTTGGTACAATTCATGAACCAATATTGATACATTTTATTAACTAAAGTCCATAGTTTACATTAAAGTTCACTCTTTGTGTTGTACAGTCTTACAGGTTTTAACAAATTCTTACTGCCACGTGTTCACTATTATAGTATCATACAGAAGTTTCACTGCCCCCAAAACTGCTCTGTGTGTCATCTATTAATCCTTCCTCTCTTACCCTAACCCCCTGGCAACCTCTAATCTTCTCATTGTTGCTATAGTTTTTCTTTTTCCAGAAATAGCTGGTATCATACAATATGTAACTTTTTCAGACAATCTTTCATTTGTTTTTGTTGTGTGCTGTTCAGTCAGCAGTATGAATTTAAGGTTCTTCTATGTCTTTTCACAGCTTCATAGCTCATTTCTTTTTATCATTGAATACACACTCCATTGTATCAACGTAACAGAGTTTGTTTATCCATGCAACTACTGCAGGACATTTTGGTTGCTTCCAAATTTTGCTAATTAAGACTAAAGTTGCTATGAACATTTCTGTGAAGGTTTTGGGTAGACATAAGTTTTCAACTCATTTGGGTAAATACCTAGAAGCACTATTGCTGAATCATGTAGTAAGCCTATGTTTAGCTTTGTAAGAAATTGCCTGACTGTCTGCCAAAGTGGCTGTACCATTTTGCATTCCCACCCATAGGGAAGGAGAATTACTGTTTCTCCGCATCTTCTCCAGCATTGGTGTTGTCAGTGTTTTGGATTTTAGCCATTCTAGTAAGTATGTAGTTGTATCGCATTGTTGGTGTTGCTTTTAATAATTTATTTTATTTGTGTTGTTGAGAATATGCACAGCAGAACATATATCAATTCAATATTTTCTATGGGTACAAATCAGTAACATTGGAAATCTACTGAGTTTTAAAATGAAATAGAAGGATAGAAAATATCAGGGTGCATTACATACAGAAAAGGTAAGTATTGTTTCATGAGATTTTAGATTCAGTTATATATATGTGATGTATGCATGAACATATGGGGGTGTGCACAGTTATTTGGTCATTATAAATGGTGAGAGATACATTGACTGGGTTCAGACAAGAAAGTTTGAAAGCCGTTGCTTTATCCCAGGATGCTTGGAAGGTGGTAGCATAATAGGGAACCAGAAAAAGTAACTCAATGACTTCAGCAAAAGGATTTAACAAGTTTGATCACAGGTGTGAACAGAAACACACAAGATTCATAAAGAGCAGGAGTGATGGCCAGAAGTCAAGGAGGATCAGTTACATTCTTTCCTCCAAACCTCAAGCTCTCCTTAGAAAATATTAAGATTATTCTTCCAAAGTCTTGCCATGGAGTCTTAGATGAAATGTATTTATCTTTACCCATTGGATATATCTCTGAACAAGTATATGTAACTTAAATTTTAGGCCTCAAAATATTTTAAATATCCACATTTTAAAATGTGGAATTCAATATTCTAACCTTTTAGAAATTAAAGGATCTTTTGGAAATATAATTAATAATTCATCAGCCTTGACCCTGGGGATTTTTGAATATTGTACTTTCTTATCATGGTAGATATAGATGCTATGATTCAGCAGAATTAAACAGGAGAATGAAGCTTTACTACCTTGTTAAGAGTATTTAATTGCTATGGATTAAAGTTCACAGAGTTTACTCTAAATTCATTTACTGACTGGAATCGTGTTACAAAAGGAAGTGGATATTTATTTTACATAATGTATTACTTCATAATAGCACACATTCTCTTATAAACCAGTTTCTTCACAGTTAGAATATAAGGCTTCCAAAGGCCTGATCAAGATTGGGGCACCGGTCATCAGGTAGAAAGATTCAATGATTTGTCAGAGGTCACAGACATGTGTTCCTTATTCCCACTCTATGTCTAGTAAGTATGTGTACCCTCTAACTTCTAATACTCCATTTTCAAAATGAGGAAACTGAAGTTCAGAGAAATAAAGCACCTTGCCCCCACTCATATTTCTGGTTGAGACTAGAGGACTCCCTCAAACTGTTGTCCTGAGATACACATTAAACCTTTAACCATGATTATCCCTTAAGGTCACTGTTAGTATTGGGTCAAGTTGAACTCAGCCTTCAGATTGCAAGTTCAGGGCTTTTTTGCTCACCACGTAATATTTATCTCAATCTCTAAGCTTCCCTGAGAAGAACTCTGTTTACTTTCCCAATCAGTCCACTAGCCAACCAAAGGTCAGAGGAGCAGGGAGAGAGGATCATCAAATTTGTGAGCTCTTTTCTGTTAGCAGTTTTTAGGAGCTTGATTGGAAGAGAAAATTAATAATTGCAGGCCTTGCTTTACCTTGACATCCTAAAAACTATTACTAAATTGAGCACTAACCCAAAACAAAACAGAACAATTACTGTTGAGCTGGTTCTGATTCATGGTGGCCCATGTGTTGCAGAAC